GCTGACAAATGGGTGCTGACAAATGGGTGCTGACAAATAGGAGCTAACACAAGTATAAAGACTGGTAGGGTTGTTGTTGGCTGCAAGCCATGTCAGGATGACACTTGGCTATCAGCGAAGAGAGAACGCTCTTTGCAGGCTCTGATGTCAACCATTCATTGCCAGATGCTACATCGTCTGCGCTGAGTGTTCCTTGACAAGAAAGTTGCACATCCAACACTGAGACCATTACACTGACAGATGTGCCTTTCCAAAGCAACATGGGTTCACAAGTTGGCGATCCACTTGCTAGTGAAGATCAACAGTCATGGAAGCGCAAGCGCTGCGAAGAGGGGAGCATTACTGCGATGCAAACGAAGATCGACGCGCTGCGGAAAGACCTTGCAAAGTTGACATGGGAATACAAGATGCAAAAAATCTGTGAAACTGCTTCTCAAGGACCGCTGGGGCAGAACGATAGTAGAGATCCGAGTTCCATTCCACCATACCGCAAACGAGGATCACAGGTATCATTAAGCAATTGCGCTGATATCATCTGCTATATGCAAGCTTACGGCGTGTTGGTATGCAAGCAGCATCATACTGCAATAGTTAACCTTGATAAGCACCTCTTGCGGTATCACAACGTGCCTGCTTTGGCCCAAAGACAGATTGTTGACTGCTTCAGTCGCCTCAAAGCGCTGGACCCGGCCGAGGTCAAGCTCCCAGACAAGCCCGCAGAAGCGATAGAGGAGCTTGGAAAGCCGCTGACCGGGTTACAGTGCACGACATGCGTGTATATCACGATTAGCAAAGAACAGATGCGCATGCACTGTAAAAAGGATCATCAGCAGGCTTGGAAGGGTGATACAAGTCAGTTGTATAGTATCGTCAAGGTGCAGAGCTTTTTCAGCACAGGCGGGTTGCAGAAATACTTTAAAGTCAGATAATATCAGGAATCAACGCGTGTAGGAATGACCCTGAGCCTCAGATAGGCACTGAACTCTTGCGCAGTGTACTTTGCTTACAAAAGATAAACATGCCTTTGACAGAATGCAGATGTGCATGCTTTGCAAAACCAATCATCAGCATATGTAGATAAGCGAGACGTTGATGAGCAATACAATCGCATTGGATAAGTCCATTGAAGTCCAAAGAGATTTTTAGCGGAGGTTGTTTGCTATTGTAATCTATCCTTTGAAGACAAGTGCTTGAAGGTGATTATTCTTTTATGCTGTGTCTAGTGAGCACGCCCTCAGCTGTCATCAAAGTCTACCGTAGGCTGGTGTCACGGTATCCTCTCCAGATCCCCTGACAATATCCAGATCCGCTCCGTACTGTCCCTGACCGTACGCACCAAATCCCCAGCATCCTTACACACCTCCGAAGCGGACGTACAACCTCCAGTCACCTCCGGAGCAGGCCTGCAACCTCCGAAGCGGGAGTATTAGGATTCTGCAAGCCCCGCTCCGGGACTTGCAACCCCGATACCTATCCAACTCAGTTCCGATTATTAACCGGTAACCAAACGAACCCACACGTAAGTATATAGACTATTGCTGGTAGAGTTCTGTTGGGTACACAACGTCTTGTACCTACTTAGATACCGTACGTAGTAATTGATTTAGACTCCCAGCAAGTCCTAAACGGCCTACTCGTAGCATCTTCGTGACAGCTGGGCAACATATTCAGAGTTCAAGCGCCGCAATGTTACTAATGCTGTCAGTCCACGCAATGGCGGTGAGTCTCTACTACTACTGGGCTAATATTCCAAAAAGTGTTCGTGCCAAACCAGAACCTTGGTCAGATTTCCGGAAATCGACCGTGGACGCTGTGCCCACACAACCAGTACTACAAACACCCTTTGTTCTTGCTCTACCAGCAACTATCTTCTTGTTATTCAAATCTTCATGAACCTACTCCATTTACTGTTATTTTGCATTTCAGGTGGGTTGTTCTCTAATTTCCCTACTTTGTAATTGTTAACAAGTAAAGCAACTGAAGCTAGGAGACACCTAGCTATCGATTGGTTCATCTGTACCGTGTCTGTGCACGTAATGTGCAGATTTGCGTGATGCGCGAGTTTTCCCTACTAAAATTGCAAAAACAGAGCAAGTTAACTTAGAGATATCTAGCTCTACTGCACCTCTAATTGTGTGGCCTGTTGTGTAACTCCAACCCTCCGTGTCATAGAAACTTTGAACTCGAATGGAAAATGCGTTCATACAAAGTCTACTCGCACAGCTTTGCTCTTTCTGGGGCATCTCTCAGATAACACTTGCAGCTTGGGTAGGGTGCTAATAGGGTTAGGGTTTTAATAAAGTTCGTCTGGGATTGTAGCAGCACGCTAGTGATGCAAGAGCAAGTGTCACGACTGCCATTCATGAGCCGGGCCTTGAGAGGCCCTGTCAGGCCTCGGAGGGCCTCGGCAGGTTTCAGCTTGGGCCATCAGGCCTTGCGCTCGCTTAGCAAGTGCACTCCCCTCATAATATCGCTGTTGTGTCCAAAGCCTTGCCTCCTTAGAGGATTGCATTGGTTCTATCCTGAGGTTGCCACCCTATTTTTACAGCAAGAGCACCAAAACAAGACAAATACTAGTACCCGCAAAGGACCCAAAAGGCTGTCAATCGAGAACTGCAATGATGTCTTCTGCTTTCTGGACGATAATGGCGTACTGGTCTGCTGACAACATCATACCGCGATTGTTAGTCTCAAGAAGCATCTCCGCCAACAGCATGCATTGTCTATACAGCAACGACGACAGGTAGTGCAGCACTTCAGCCAGTTTACTACAGTCCAGCCAGACGCTGTTGAGCTTCCAGAGGAACCAGCACTGCCGTTTCAAGAGCTTGGGGAGCCGCTTGACAGTTTGCAGTGTAGGACGTGTAGATGGAGAACTACAAGTACCAATCAAATGCGTATGCACTGCAAAAGAAATCACCAGCAAGCTTGGATAGGCAACAAGAGCTTGCTATATGATCCTGTGAAAGTGCAGAGCTTCTTCTGCACTGGAGCGTTGCAGAAGTACTTTGTTGTTGCTACAGATGTTGCTGCAAACCAAGAGAGTACTGTTGTGGAAGAGATTGTTGCAGAACAGCTTGCTGAGTATCATTCAACACAACAACAGATCCAAGAAGAGCTACAAGTCTTTAGTGATGCTGCAAAGACTGACAAGACAGGATGGTTCAAGCGGACTGGCTGGTTGGAGCACTTCAAAGACCGCAATCTAGTACATCTGGCACATCAAGCACGGCTGCCCGATCAGAGCGAGAGGAAGCTGAAGCTGGCTGCTGAGCTGACGGAGCAGCTGATAGAAAGAAGCGTCAAGGGGCTATCAACGCTTGCACGGGAGACTTGGCGCTGGCTTCGCAGTGCACGGCAGACGGAGGTTGACCTGCAACTGCTGGCACGACTGCAGAATCCGGAAAGTCAGAGTGTGTACGCGAGCTACGTTGTGAAGTTTGTATGCTACTATCTGCATATCATATCAGACAAAGAGGCGAGAATTGCGCGGATCCCGCAGCTGCGTCAGGAGCTTGCCGACGACGAGAGCAATGAGGAGTCTAGCAGCGAGGCGGACAGCGATGAAGATGAGTTGCACAGCGATGAACATGAATTGGACAGCAACAATAGTGAGGATGATAGCACCCGACCCCGGCGCCGACTGCGCAAGCAGCTGCAGACCGATATGATGAAGGATGCGCATGAGCTGTTCAAGTGGAAAGAGGATCAAAAGGCACTGGCCATCCGCTTATGGCTTGCGCTAGATAGAAGCGACCAACCGGCTCAGATGGAGGCTCTGCTTGCATTGCTGAGCTCGTTCATCTTCACTGTGTACGACGACGTGCCGCTATCTTGTGGGTTGATACAGTTTCTTGCGGTGCTAGGCATTGACTCAGACATGGGCCGCTTGCGTAACACAAAAAACTACTCGTACATGTTGGCAGGCATGGTGTACTGCGTGCGTGTGCTTGGAGTCAAGAAGCTGCTCCCATCAGCGCAGCGCAGCGAGCAGACTGTTGAAGACCGCGATAGGTTTCTGACTATGCAGCACAAGTACATGGCGGATGGCACGTTCAGCCCGATGAGCGAGATGATCAGTTTGCTAGCGTATGGCAAACACATCGGGCTAAGTGCAGGCAACTCAGGTAACGCATACTGGTCAAAAGACAAGAGAATCTTCTATCTTTACGGCCGGCCGGTTCACATAGATCGTTTCCGCAAGATGGCTCAGGACTTGGTAGCTGAAGCATTGGAGATGCTGTGGAGGCTATGCTGGGTTGAGGATGTGCAGGACCGCTTCACGATCGAGTTGGATAAAGTGGTAGACAACGTCACATTCACAGAACAGGGCAAATCTTTTGTTGATACCCCCAGCAACGGTCTGTCGAACGGACTCAGTTGGATGCTTACACGGGTGCTGACTACTGAGGGCGGACTGCGACTGAAGCATGCAGACGGGCAGTGGAACGTCAAGGCAGTAAGGCGGTACATGCTGCAAGTGGACCGCTTCTTAGAGATACTGTTATGCAGTGTACATGTCACGTCAGGACAGCCGGGTTGAGGATCAGAGATCACGACGATTCGACATCGCAACGGGGTGCTGCAAGATCGTAACATCTTTGTTGTGGACGGGCAGATCATGACTGTTGTGCGCTATCACAAATCGCAGTCGCAATGGGAAAAGCCGAAGATTGTGCCGTGATTCTTGCCACCGCAGCTGGGGCAGGTTATGGCGGTGTTCTTGGTGTACATACAGTCGTTCCGTGAGAATCTAATACTGCAGGTGCTTGGGGGCAACTACAGCAACTACGTGTGGTACAATGCGCAAGGAGCGTGGGACACTGGCCGACTCACAAGAGTACTCAAACGAGAGACAAAGACAAGGCTAGGCGTGGAGCTGCACATGCTGGACTACCGACACACCGCCGTGGGAATTGGGAGAGTTGTTGTGGGAGAGTTGTTGTGGGAGAGTTGTTCAGCAGAGGTTGTCAGGACGAGCTCGGCGAGATTGAAGAAGCTGAGGTGGAGGATGACGGCGAGGACATTCTTGAGCTGCAGAACTCACGCACGACAGCTATGGGTGTTGGCAACTACAGCGCACCGATAGACATTGTGAAGCATCTCAGCGTACGGTGGATAGACGCATTTTGCCCGCTTAGCATGGCATGGCACAGGTTCTTGGGTGTTGATGGTGAAGGTGAAGCAGATGAGGGCGTAGATGCAAGCGCGAGTACCGCAAGAAAGCGAGTGCTGCAGAACAGTATCTCTGAGCCGGCAGTGCTACCGAAAGCAAAGGAGGGGCAGGTTGAAGATCTACGTGAAGAAGAGATTCGCAAAGCATTGAGGCAGGTACTGAAGAAGCAGGATGTCAGCTTCCGATCTGTTGAGCAAGAGCAAGCAATGCACGCTGTACTTGGCGGTCAGACGCCGCTGGTAGTGGTGCTTCCGACAGGGGGTGGTAAGAGGCTGCTATTCACTGTGCCGGCAATCGTCGAGAAAGAGGGAGGAGTTACTGTTGTGGTGGTGCCGTACCGGGCGCTGATTGAAGACTTGGTGATGCGAATTCGGCAGAGCGGCATTGATTGTATGGAGTGGAAGCACGGCGAGAACAACCCGGCATCTGTGGTTGTGGTCAGCGCTGATGTAGCTGGCGATATCACAAGCAACGGCAACTTTATCGGCTACGCTGGGCTGCTGCAAACGAAGGGGTTACTGCGGCGGGTGGTGGTTGATGAGTGTCATCTCATCTTCACGTCGAGCAACTGGCGACTGAAGCTGGCATTGCTCAAGAATCTACGGCTGACGGCGTGCCCGATTGTGTTGCTGACAGCGACACTGCCGCCGGTGCGCGAGAATGAGCTTGGGTCAAGCATGCTGGTGCACAACGCTACGTACATACGGGCAAGTACGGTACGGCCGAAGACGCGGTACTTTGTATCGTGGTGTCAGCAACACAAGATGCAGGAGACGGCCGTGGCAATATGCAAGCGGCGTCAAGCACAGCTGCAGAAGAAGGTGCAAAAGGGCGTTGTGTACTGTCGAAGCAAACGGCAGTGTGAGGAGCTGGCAGAGGCGCTGGAATGCGCGTACTATCATGCTGGTGTAGTAGACCGCGCGGAGCGGCTACAAGAGTGGGTGGAAAGAGGGGGGTTGATTGTAGCTACGTTGGCGCCGGGCACAGGTGTTGACTTTCCGGGGATTGTATACATTTTGCATGTGGGGATGCCGTGGAGCATGATTGACTACGCACAAGAGAGCGGGTGTGGAGGGCGGAATGGAGAGATAGTAGATGCTGTCGTGCTAGTGGAGCATGGAGAGGTAGAGCGAACGATGCAGCAGAAGAGCGGAGATATCGATGTGCAGGCAATGGGGCTTTTCATCATCGGCAGCGGGTGTCGAAGACAGCTGATGAGTAGGTACTTGGACACTGTAGGCGTAAGCTGTACAGACATTGAATCTGCTGGATGCGATCGATGCGGAGAAGGATTGAGAGAGTGGCTGGAGGAGCAAGAAAGCTGTCCGCACAGGCAGTGCTCTCATTAGTCAGCTCGTTTGATTAGCTCCCGCACTAGCGCACTGTAGATATCGCCCCGCTCTGATAGCTTCAATACAACAACGCCCTTATCACAAAATACTCCCTCATCAGGTTATGAGCCCTCTCTTAACGACCGCGATCGCGACCGTGCAGTAGTACACCTTGTCAATAGCGCAGGTACTATTGCAGCGCCTTCCTGGTGTTGAGAGAGGCGTTTCCGCACTCAGCAACTACCCCACCAAAAGACGGAGCTACCCCGCCATCCATTCCACCTCCCCCCCATACAACCAACACCATGTCACTGTCTGACAGCATCGTACCAAAGCTGCGACAGGA